TACCATCAGCAGGTAAGTATACACCAAAAATATACATGACATTGGCATAGTTATCTTTGACCTCAACTCCAACAACACGGTTAGAATCATTACAAGTTACCTCCTTAACGGAGTACTCAAGCGAATTTCTAATGAGTAGTGCAACACCACCCTTACCTACAAAGTGTGAGCTACATGCCAGTCTTGGATTTACAACGCTGTCTGTTTCTACCTTGACAATACTTTTATAATCTTTATGTATAGAATCTAAGTACCTAAAAATGAACACATTGTACATCGCTTCCAATTCAATTCAATTTCAATTTCCTTTTTGCAAAAATCATACGTCTTATAGCATTACTACAATATATGAAAAAAGGAAATAATCAAAAAATGGCAGGTCAGTCCTTGTAAATCCTTATGGAACATGCACATATATACATACAGTCATTACAGTTCATATGGAGAATGACATGAGATTAATGCAACGTACAACGCTTCCATTTCTGAAGAAGATTAGGTAATAAAACATTCTCCTTCGTCTAATTTATCTCTTAAGGTACTCCGATTCGCAGGTAGGAAGGATAACTCTTTACTTTATAATATAATTCAAGAAGTCTCAAAATGAAGCTTAAAATTTAATCTTTTCATGCAACAATTTTCATTTTATATCTCTCAATGTGCTTCAAGATTCTTTGAAGTTCTCAGAAAAGTCTTATAAAAACTTGAATTTTTTACCCAATAAAAGTTTTAAAAGAAATTGAGATTCATTTTAATCTAACAATAGATACCAATGTTTATTAACTAGTTATGAAATTAGAAGTGATTATATCATGGTGTTTTGCAAATTATTTTTCCACTATGCATTTTAAAATGAAGTGGGTAAGAACACGCCACTCTAAGAAATCAGAGACATATTTGAGAGCATTTTCAAAAAGTAAAAGCCTGATTTTCAGAACGTGAGTATAGGAGTACCTTAAAATAAGTTCTATTGTTGGCATATTCCAACTTATTTCCTTTAATTGTTCTCCATATTGTATCAGAATTATGTATTTGGTTGCCTATTGCTATCTGTTTTTGTCCGTTGTCGTCAGTCGTTCGTCGTCCGTCGTGTGTTAACATTTGAACATTTTCAGCTTAAATTCTTTTCTGAAACCACTATACCAATTTAAACCAAATTTGGTATAAAGCATCTATGGGTGAAAGGGAACACAAATTGTAAAATTTCATGGTCCCTACCCCCCTTGGGCCTGGGGGTGTGGCCAAAACCACCAAAATTAATGCAATCTTCAAAATCTTCTTTACTCCTGGACATCAAGCAGGCAAACTGTTGGCATGAATGTATTGAGCATTGAGTCCTCTACCAAAAATTGTAAAATTCATGGCCCCAGGGTCAGGAGTTCTAGTGCTAGGGCGGGGCTATATAGATTAAATAGTGAAAATGCATTATTTCTTTTAAAATCTTCTCTGCACCTGGGTATTAAATAAACTAACTTAGTACCTAGTTACCGGTATGATGAGCAAGAGTGCCTCTTTCAAAACTGTGAATTTTATGGCCCCTGGGTCAGGGGTTTGGTGTTAGGGCGGGGGTCTACTGATTATATTAGTGAAAATGCATTTATTCTTTGAAAATCTTCTTATCTGCTTCTGGGTATTGAATAAACTAACTATGTAATAGTTATGATGAGCAAAAGTGCCTCTTCCAAAATTGTAAATTTTATGGCCCCAGGGTCCGGGGTTCTAGTGCTAGTGAGGGGCTATAGATAACAGTGAAAATGCATTTTTTTTTTAAATCTTCTCTGCTCCTGGGTACGAATATAGTTATGATGAGCAAGAGTGCCTTTTCCAGAATTGTGAATTTTTTGGCCCAAGGACCAGGGGTTCTGGTGTTAGGGCAGGGATCTATTAAATATATAGTGCAAATACATTTATTCTTTGAAAATCTTCTCCTCTGCTTCTGGGAATTAAATGAACTAACTAAGTACATAGTTATGATGAGCAAGAGTACCTCTTCCAATATTGTAATTTTATGACTCCTGGGTCAGGGGTTCTGGTGTTAGGGTGGGGCTCTATTGATTATATAGTAAACATGCATTTATTCTTTGAAAATCTTCTCTTCTGGGTATTAATTTAACTAACTAAGCGCATACTTATGATGAGCAAGAGTGCCTCTTCCGAAATTGTTAATTTTATGGCCCCAGGATCAGGGGTTCTAGTGCTATTTATTAAACCAATTTAATTTTTTTACAATTCCTTACTCAGACAATTTCAATTATCAGCAAAAATTCGAAATTCATTTGATGATTTTACAAAAAAAAAAAAAAAAAAAAAAAAGATACAGGACTGAGAATTTTCAATGTGGTTTACATTTAGAAAATATGTTTATAACAAATAGAGATTCAGCAAATCATTAGAAAATTGTATTTAGAATCAACTTCTTATTGGAAAAATCTTTGAATGAACACATATCAGCATGTTTAACGTATGTCAACAAAAACATGGTTTGGGTTTTTTTTTTTTTACATAACAAAGATTTGGAGCTCTAAATCTGTCTTGTATCTTGACAACTGCAATTAAAAAAATTGCTGATCATTAGAAATACCTAATTTAAGTATTTGTAAACAAAAAAAAAATGTATGAAAATTTTTGGCTGTTACTACGTCCATGCCCCTTTTATCTCAATTCAAGTAAAACCCTGGTAAAACTAGATGTGAATTTTTCTAGGAACATTTTCTTATATTTTAAATGTATATTCAACATATGTTCCTTTCCTAGTGCTTTGCAGACTGGGCAATGTTGATTGTTCAGTTCGTGTGCTATTACAAAGTATAATGAACAATCATGATTTTCATTTCTTTTATTGTAAAAAGAATGAAAAAGCGATTCCATCATGCCAGGTTTGAAAAAAAAGTCAGACCAATTCTGTGCACAAGAATGTACATAATGTATTTTTTAACATATACTCAAAGTGACTCAAAATATTGCACTACAAATCTAAGTTTTAAAAATCTTGTTTTCAGTAAATAGAGGTAAATAGAAAACAATAAAGCAACATCATTCTGAATTTCTACATAAAAGTTGTAAAAACATATCTATGTTGTACTATTATCACTTGTAAATGTACAAAATGATACTTGAAATCTTAATGTTGAACCCATCTCCACTCCGAATGTTAAAACTTCCAATAAGACTGAAGCAAACCCACTGTACTTCTGCCAAATCCACTTCTGATAGAATATGTTTTCTGTTCACTCAACTACAGTTTCAAAGGTATATTTTTATTTGTAGAAATTTTTAATGAAAATATAATGAGGCTAATAGCTCTTTTGTAATGAAGATACATAAGGTGTATTTTGAAAATGGAAGAGTTTGTGATTCACCGGAAATTTGATTGCTTTGATAAAGATATTGATTAAGCGATAGAATAATGAAAGAATGATCTACAACATAATGTTAACATGAATGGACTCTATACTTTACATTTAAAAAATGTCAACTGGCAACCTTTCCAAGCAAAATATTGGTGGGAACATATTTCTAATAAGGGGATATGAAACACATATAGAAAACTGTAGGATGTACAACAGAGATCATTTTTTTTATATCTGTTACAACAGAAAAAATATATAATAAGAAAAAATTCTCCAACATCTGTATTATTGTTCCAAATACAAGAAAACAATACATGTTGGTATTGAAAATCAGAATACAATAGGTCATCTCAGTCAAATCACTCAATGACCCATTCGGTCCAGGCAATTTGACCTCAGTTACTGATAGTGTAATATATCCTTTTCACATTATGCAAGTCAGTGATTTATTAATGCAGCAAACATCACTGAAAAAAAGTATATGAGGATAAATTATTTACAATGGTACTTTTATCTCCATGGAAATAAAAATAAGTACTTCTATTACATATAGAAATGCTGCAAGACCAACTCAGAATTTAGATAGATATGTCAAAAGTTTCTATTTAACTGTGGAACTATACCTAGATAAAGGGAAAAAACAGGTCAAGCAGGTAGAAAAAAACAATGGAGTCATAATGTACAATTTTGGCAAGTCAAGAAATTCTGTCCGACATAATTTCTAATTGCAATGAAAACTACAGGTTTTATTTGAAACACATCTGATATATGGCAAGACATTATAATCCAAATAAAAATGGATTTATACATTATGTCCATTAAGTCTTTTTTAAAACAGTACAAATGTTGGAGAGAAAGAAGTATATTTTTTATCCATAACAAATTAAGTGTTTCATTTTTCTATGTAAAAAACAAAGCATCAAACATGTGCTTCCATGTTGAGTCAAAATCAATACTACCTCTACATGCTTTGGCATATTATTGAGCACAACTACATAGCGTAATTACTTCAACATTATTTCCATCCTAACATCATTTTTTATCATGACATCATTTCATTCATAACATCATTTCAATTAAGAAATCATCTTCATTATGACATCATATCCATTTCAAAATCTAAACAACCAGAAAATTGAATCTGGTCCTTCCCAGCTTCAATTTATAAAAAAAGAACAACTACAATATGTAAATATATATATATATATAACTGTATATAAATATATCTAAATGTAAATGTCACATGCAGTGAACAATGAAATAGTGAATGTGTACAAATATAAAAATTTACAACCATCACGATGTAATCTTGACACATAATCTCTCTTCAATGACTTCCAAAAAGCATTAAAACAAATCATCATTCGTCAGTCTATGAGCATCAATATCAGAAAAAACAAATGCCACTACTCAGACTTGGAACTTTATAAACTAACACATGATTGACAGCTGATAGGTAGGCATCTTGCAAAGAAAAGTCTCTTTCTCTCTGAAAATGTTATAACTTTCACCATTCTTGGGTCTGTGAATGGAGGGATACCTGACAATTCAATGTCTCTGATTGGTCAGTTTTATCCAACAGTTCACTTTCTCATTGGTCAGCTGAACAGAGTGATTCCATCGTCTGATTGGCTGAAAAGTTAAAAGCAAATGGTCTTCCCCCTCCCCCATTTTATCTAACACTGACTCTTTTTACATTCTCCAAATTGGGACTGATAAAAATTACCGAGTAGTGAATAAGTGACCATAAAAAGAAATCTATTCAAGAGTTAAACAAAGTTTTCTAACAGAAAAATCTGAAGTGCAACTTTGGCAGTCTGTGGTTACAACCTGAGATATATAAAAGGGGACATTTCACCAATTCTAATACATGTACATCACTTGTATATAAAGTTATCAGGTCCACTGTGCTCTTGATAATATTCTCAGGATGCCAAGATGTCAGGAAAAAGCTTTGGTACAACCCCTGATCATTAACTATGATGAGTTTTAATCACTGTATCTGGTGTAATCTCTTCATAGGTGATTTTAAATAACAGTGATAAGTGCATGAATGAACTTTTCGATGAAAAGCATGTAACAGCACAATATATATAAAAACATCCCCACAGAACAACAGAGTAAGAACAGTTGGATGTCAACAAACAACACCACTGATGTCGATTTTATAAAAACGCAGAGGATACACAAACATAGAGAAATGCTGTCAGGACTCCCTGGGTCAAAAGGTCAATCAAAGGTCAATCAACCGAGGAAGAACCCTCGGGGTCGGGGTTCGTTTATGGGCATGGTCTGTAGGACCTCATCTAGGAGCTGTAGTGGTCGGTGCAGCTGTACCTCAATCCAGCAGGGTGTCTCCTTTATACTGTGTCTGGGGTAGTCCGGTCCCCAGCCTTTCACAAAGCTCAGACGTAATATACACAGTCTTCTCAGATCGTCCACCCCAATCCCTGCTGCCGCACTCAGGCCTGTCAAAGTATAAGACAAACATCAATATAGGAACGCTTTAATTTTATAACAAATGAAATACAGTCAGAGCTGCCAACATTATGAAATGAAAAATAGTAAGGCATGGTCCGCGGACCACCTCAGCCCCCTGCCGCTGAAAATTTTTTGTAAATGGACATGCAATCGGAGCAATTTGAGGCATGTTCCGTTTCCATTTTGTTTACTTTAAAACTTTGACATGAATGCGATCAGCCATTTAAAACAGAAACGACAATGCAAGCAAGTGTTGTAAAGATTATGAATATTTAAATAGTAGAAACTGTAGACGGTCGATTATGAAAATTCTGATATTATAAACTCTCATACAGAAAAACCGAAATCGGAAGCATATAGAGAGAAATGGTAAGGCATATTTGGGACACTAATTTTGTAAGACTTACGCCAAAATTGTAAGGGTTGGCAGCTCTGAATACACCCAAGATTTCATAAAAGAGCGTAAAACGTCAGTTAAATTTTCTATTGCCTTTACGATGCTTTTCATTTTAAATACATGAAATAAGCCAACGATTTCATAAAAGAGAGTAAGACTTAAGTTTAAATTTTTAATTTTCTTTAGTAAGCTTTTATTGTCCAATAAAAATTAACATAATATAGGTGAAAAAAATTGGTTTCAAAATGTGACAAGAAAAATTCACAAATAAAAGGAGGTCATGATATTCCTTCATATTCTTTGCTACAAATAAAGGTTGGATCTCAGTATGTCCTAAGACACTCACCGACAGCTGGAGCAATACCCCCTACAGAAGCGGGTCCTGGGACGTTTCCTGCTACCGCGGCGGCCTGAGCTGCTGCTGCCGCCTGAGCCGTGGCGGCCTGTTCCTGCATCTGTCTGTGACATTGACGTATGTCAAACACCTACAAAACAAATGCAGAGATGATCATCTGTCTGTGACACTGACGTATGTCAAACACCTAGAAAACAACAGTTATGAGGTGGGGTAAGCTTCTCAAATCATTAGTTTGCAAAAATTTTCCAAGTCCATCTGGATTGTTATGAAGAGAACTATGCAAAATATATCCATTTATTTTGTAAAAGACCATTCTGGATAATTAGTCTCTGCTAGTTTAACTGACCGATATATAAGCCCTAGTGTAGATTTTATAATGACCTTTATATAGGTGCAGGGGTAGATTTTATAACTCACTTTTTTATCAGCGCTGGGGTATCTCATCTTTAACTATAACTGACCTATATATTGGCACTGGGGTAGATTCTATAACGTACCTTTATATAAGCCCTGCGGTATATGTTATAATGTACCTTTATATAAGCCCTGCGGTATATGTTATAATGTACCTTTATATAAGCCCTGCGGTATATGTTATAATGTACCTTTATATAGGCCCTGCGGTATATGTTATAATGTACCTTTATATAAGCCCTGCGGTATATGTTATAATGTACCTTTATATAAGCCCTGCGGTATATGTTATAATGTACCTTTATATAGGCCCTGCGGTATATGTTATAATGTACCTTTATATAGGCCCTGGGGTAGACTTTATATCATACCTTTATATAGGCGCTGGTGTAGATTTTATCTTACCTTTATATAGGCGCTGGGGTAGATTTTATCTCACCTTTATATAGGTGATGGGGTAGATTTTATCTCACCTTTATATAGGCGCTGGGGTAGATTTTATCTCACCTTTATATAGGCGCTGGGGTAGATTTTATCTCACCTTTATATAGGCGCTGGGGTAGATTTTGTGGACCGCGTCCCCCGGCTGTCTCCCTGCCTCTCTGTCAAGGTAGTAAGACTGGACAAACACACTGTGGTCACTGACACACCGGATCCACACATCCCCCTCCCCATTGTAGTCCAGCTGTACACCTTTACCTATGTGTAACCTGTCAATGTAATTACAGCTTATACTTATCAATAGGCTAATCCACTTGTACACCTTTACCATGTGTAAACTGTCAAATAATGTAATTACAGCTTTTACATACTTAGACATAGACCATCTATCACATTTATCGTATCTCACGTGCAGCATCTGGATTACAGTATCTCTTAATAACCTTTATCTGGTGTTACTGAATTCTATTCTGTAATTTATGCTTATCTAAAATACTGTATGTAGAGGGTTATTTTTGCCCTATTACACTTGCTAACAATTATGCCCTGCTTTAAATTCGCCCAGTAAGAATTCAAATAATTATACTGTGTTCAATGAATTCGCCGTTTTTCAATTCGCCTAACCAAAGGAAGGGCGAAAGGATTGAAATACAGGGACGATAATTTCCCTGTATCAAGTAGTGTAACTAGGTGATGTATATCTTTCACCTGATCTCTTGGTTGTGCCCCCCCCCCATTTACCTGGCTTTGTCGCTGGTTTCTGTGCGGTGGACGTTGGACAGCTGACCCAGACAGAACCGGTCTAGACTGGATGGGTCGGTGTAACCGTCCACGGTCACTCGAGCATAACTGTATGGGACCTTAAACGTCTCACCAACCTGCTGGTCTAGCTCAAAGTACGTAATGGTACACCAAAACTCAGGGGCTGGAAAAGAACCGAGACAGAATTAACAACAAAGTACGTAATGGTACACCAAAACTCAGGGGCTGGAAAAGAAACGAGACAGAATTAACAACAAAGAATTCACCAAAACTGAAAAATTAATAAAAAAGATACAACTGAAAACAAGGTTACTAATGTAGAAGACAGAATGTTAACTTGATAGCCTGAAAGCTCCGAGAATTTTTTTACCCCCTTTTAAATCTAGAGGACATAGTTATTACATAAGCAAATTTTGAAAGATTGGATATGCTTCAAACAAAGAACACTGGTCAGTGCATTCTATAATAACTGGATGTCTGTTGACCTGCAATTTGGCCGAGGGACACTTCCCTTAGAACAGAAATGGTCAATCAATGGGTGAAAAGGCCAAAACAAAATCATGTGTTTCAGAAACAATGATTTCCCCTCCCCCCTCCCCTGCCTGACAGTTCAGTGTCAAAGTTCAAGTTTCTCAAAACACAAATCAACCTCTGAGGTCAAGAGGTTACATAAAGTGCCCCGCCACAGCATGATACGCCGTCAAATATTGTTCAATAATAATAAATTGGTTAGGATGCAAGAAAATCAGGTAGCCTTGATTAACAGATTGACACAGATTTCAATGATTTAATTTCCATTTCTTAAAACATTGTTGTGACGTCAAGCCTTTGTTCTTGCAGTCTAAAAATTTACCTGTAGCCGTCCGATAATAATAATTACCAGTCTGATAATATATTATCGGACGGCAATGAAAACAAAATCGGACGGTATTTAAAAAACAAAAAGAAGAGTGAAATTAAGATTAAATATGTCCAGAAACCCCCAATAAAAATGTTAGGAAAAAAATTCATGGAAACCAAACGCAAGGAAATTAAGTTGATCACAATACAAAATAGCAAATCCATGAAAAGAAATCCGAGTTTAAACTTCCACAACATTAATTTTCATTCTTTAAAAGAGTTTTTGATTCAGCACTTTAATTGAAAAAGCGAATTTAAATCCATTTCTGAAAAAAAGTTTCTGCAATATCCTTTTATGTTTGTTCCCCGATGGCCACACTTTCAAAACCTGAGAATTTCCATTATCTAAGTTAAAAATTCAGCTAGGGTAAAAATCCGCATTTTACTTGCCATGGTGAAGGTTAAAATATCACCCAAAATTATGTCAGTATCAATGTCAATTTATGCACATCATAAATAAAAATGTTCCCCCCAAAAATCTTTCACCACCGTACCCCTGTCCTTCTAAACGAAACGACTGCCATTGAATGAATGAAATTAATGAAACAAGAGTTCACTCACTTTTTTACCGTTCACTCATTTCTTTTATCTACTTATCAGACGGGTAGAAAACAATGGATGCTTGAACTCCCATTGTGTTATTATCGGACTCCGCCAGGTAACTTTTGGACATTTAAATGGCAATGTTTTAAGAAAGATATATGCCTCATACTATTCTATATGTAAAATTATCAGACAGTTTTCGGCCCGAACGGGCCTCAAACAGTCTGATAATTTTACATATAGAACAGTATTCGGCATATATCCATTACTTATCATACATCTCTAAGAGACTTGCAGTGTAGGGATTGATTATAACAAATACAGTCAAACCTGTTTTAAGAGGCCACTTGTGGGAGAATGACAAATTGGCCACATAAGACAGGTGGCCACTTATTCCAGGTTTCAAACCAATGAACAAAAAATTGCGAACACAGTTGTTGTATATTTATTTTCACACCTATCCAAATCCACAATTATCACACATTTATGAAATCCCCTTTCTTACATTTCATTTTACATAAATTTCTGAAAGAAATTTGTTATTGATTTTGTTGTTGTCATTTTTTTTTTTTTGGTTTTGTTTCGTGTTGTTAAATTTTAATTCTACAGCCATAGAATTTACGTCATACGAAGTCATGAAATGTTCTTACAAATTAGCATTTCCCTGATGCTGTGTAAAGCTTTTTAGTTTATCTAGATATGTATTTATTTATATTACATAAAAGATTAAAAACGGGAGATTGACCGCTTGACTAGATAATCTCAGACGAAATTGTAATTAATGTATTGAATTTATATCATGAACATATTCAACAACTTACTTTCGTAAATAAAGAACACCAAAAAAACCTTTGTTAACAACAAATTATTTAATCATATTAATTAAATCATTAAATCCTGTCAGAATTCAAATTACACCTGCAATTATTGGTCATTAACTCATTATCAGCTGTTCATGTTTGGCTTCGTATGAGGATACGAGGTCACGTGTCAGACGGAAGTCATGTGACAAAACAGACAAAATGGCCGCTGAAATCAGGCATGTTAAGCGCACGGGACCTAAAAACACTGGCCACTGGCCGCGTTAGACAGGTGGCCGCTTAAATGAGTTAAAATATAGTGGAAAAATGAACGGGCGGGATTGAAACTGGCCGCTCATGGGGAGTGGCCGCTGATTCCGGGTGGCCGTAACAGCAGGTGCGACTGTACATCATATAACTCTAAACTGGTTGTGTTAGAGCATAACAAATATCCATCTGCAGCTTACTTAAACTTAAATTGTTTATTGCATTTTTTATTAAATAATAGAAATGCTACAGTTTAATAAAAAAAATCAAACATAAATTATAATTTCTTCAGACTATAAAATTCTAAGTGAGACAATGACTGCAATTTGTTGCAAATATATATAAAAATTGAAATATATATTTTTTTTCAATGAACACATGTATATAAATAATAAGTTTTAATTATATCATACAATACTAATTTAGTTTTAATCATACACTAAAACATAAATTTGTTTTAATTACATTACACCTATTGGAAGATCTTTATCTGGACTAGCCATCAAGAACTCTTAATTAACACAAGCAACTATGAGGCCATTTCTTCTTGACCAGTGCTTGATAATTATGCCCATGGGACAAACTGAATTCCTCTCAAAGCATAAACATTTGTTACACATTGCTGTAAAGTATATAATGAAAAAATAAGTTTTTACTTAATTTAACATTTTTTAATAAGGATACAACTATATTTTTACATTTTTTAGGATTATGAAGTTTAAAATTTAAAAGACTTAGTTTTTTTTAAAAATTCACTTAAATTAAAGGTCACAGCGACCTTGAAATAGGCCGCAACACACCTTCTACTTTAGCTGTATACTTTTGCCAAGTTTGAAATCTCTAGGTCTCATAGTTTCCTAGTTATGAGCCGGACAGGATTTTTCCATATTTGGCTATAGCATCTTTATTAAAGGTCAGAGTGACCTACTTTTTGTGCGAGACACACCTTCTACCCAAGACGTATCAGCTGACAAAGTTTGGTAACTCTAGGCCTTATAGTATTAAAGTTATGAGCAGGACACGAGAAAAGCTAACAGACGGACAGACAGACAGACGGACGGACACAAAGCCTATAACATAATACGTCCCGTCTTAAGACGGGCATATAAAAATGTTAGTACTAAGGCCATAATAAATAAATTGCTAGATTCTCATCCGAATTTTTTTAAAAATCGAGGCGGGCGGGCGGCTTTTAGGCCATAATAAATAAATTGCTAGATTCTCATCCGAATTTTTTTAAAAATCGGGGCGGGCGGGCGGCTTTTATTTTATATTTTTTATTTTTTCAATTTTGCAGATTTTTTATTGACCTAGTCAATCGGTGTAATTTTATCTACAATACCAGAAAAAAAGTCATAGTAAAGATTCCGTTATCTCTTACTTCACATCATCACCAATCTTTTCAACCAATGACCCTTGATTAAAATATATACGCGTGTATTACAGCAATTACCATCTTTTCAGCTGTCAAAATCATGTTGACATTCGCGGGATTTAAAACGAAAGTAGAATGATAGATGAATACCGATCCCGATCAGAATTAAGACGAGGAAAAACAGAAATAAAAAAAATCGAGGCGGGGGTTTAAAATCGGGGCGGGCGGGGATGAGAATCTAGGAATATTTTTATTATGGCCTTATTTTATACTTTTTATTATTTCAATTTTGCAGATTTTTTATTGACCTGGTCAACCGGTGTAATTTTATCTACAATACCCGAATAAAAGTCATAGTAAAGGTTCAATTATCTCTTACTTCACATCATCACCAATCTTTTTCAACCAATGACCCTTGTTTAAAATATATATGCAGGTATTACAGCAATTACAATCTTTTCAGCTGTCAAAATCATGTCGACTTTCGTGGGATTTAAAACTAAAGTAGAATGGTAGATGAATACCGATCCTGATCAGAATTAAGACAAAGAAAAACAGAAATTTAAAAAAATTGAGGCGGGGGTATAAAAAAAAAAAGCCCAGAGAAAATAACACTGACTATCTTGTATTTGGCAAATTGATGGGAGATAAAGATTTTTTTCCCCAGCTATTAGGCCAAAAAAAAAAATATGTGTGTTTCCGGTAACATGTCCCTCAAAATTAGGGTAGGTCGGTAGGCAATTACTTTTTTTTTTACTTTTACTTTTTATTTTAACTGAACATTATATTTGACTGTTTTTTAGGTAAACTGTATATGATATTAAATATTAACAAGTAGTATTTTGTTTTCTAGAGGTAGGTAGCAGAATCAATTGCAAGAAATTGATTTATAGAAAAAGACATTTGAAATTTAATCACAATTTAATAATGAAATTTTGTCACATTTAACAAAAAAGTAAAATAAAGAATTCAAGATTGTTTTTCAGGCCTACTTCTACCTCGGCCTCATTATCATTACATGTAAAGACATAGTTAATATCCATTTCTTTCATGGCCAATGATGTCAGAGTTAAACCGCCGTTGTTAGCTTCAAAATTATGACTATCTCGAAATATATTTCCCACAGTCCAGTGCCAAAGAGAGTTATATATTGCAGTAATTTCGTATGAGTGTGGACATTTCTTGAGCTTAAACCCAGTGACAACATGTGGTGGACTTGGAGTTGAGTGATGCACATATAAAATAAGTGATGCAATACATCTGGGGCCACAATTTGACACACTAGCCATATTCCTGGAGTGTTTGCCTAGTGGCTGCCCCTTACAGTGTTTTAAATGAATTGGAGTGCATTTTAAAACTATAAACTAATCATGCTAATGGGGGTCAAACAATTCTTTTATGCTATGTATTATATATCATTGGATTCGTAATAAATTAAATTTTTCTCATCTATTTACAGAATTTTTATTGTAATTTTCTATAAATAATAATTCAGGTGAAAGCAGGTGTAAATCGCAATATAGATATTTTAACAAATATGCCAAAATTGTCTTTAAAAACTAAGAAATTTATGTGTGATGTTATAATTAATGATTGAATTATTATTTATTATCCATTTTATAAGTTTGATTCCTCAGAAATAAATAATTGTAGTGATACTATAATGTCAATCTCGCCAACAATTTTTCAAACTTGTGTGATAAAACTTGATTTCTAAACGTTTTTGAATATTTTAATGATCAAATTTTATTAAAATAATTATTTGCTACACCTTTACATTTATAACTATGCGTAAAATGGAAGATATCTTCTGAATTTCTGAGAAACAGGTAATGAAATCGGCCGCACTGCGCGGTCCCGAACTTCACAAAATTTTCGTACCTTATATTGAAGTATATTACATGTGTAGATCATTATAATTATCAAACCTTTCAAGAAATATGTAGTTGATAGCTTGAGTTTCATGTAATGCTTTACTGGATGAGAAAATATTGCGTATTGGCTGTGTTATATGCTCAAAAAACATCGTAAGTAACAGTCCGCCATTTTGAATTTTGGTGGGACTTTTCGAGATTCTTATGTTTTTTAAAACAAGTAAATCATGTGATTTCCAACTGTAGTATGATGCAATCATCTATTGTTAACCTGCAGGTGGCCACCTGTGCTCTGATAATTTAAAAACAAGCGGTAATTTCAAGTCAAATCAACAATGAAAATATACACGCGTGTCAACATCGATTTGGTCAAAAGTCTCATTAAGCGTTGGATGCTAAGTGTCAAAAGACGTCATTAAAGGGTAAAGGAGGGAACGATCTAAGGGGGAAAGAGCTATTATCTACGCATGTATAATCTTAAAATGCTTGAAAAGACGTTTTTATTTATCTGCTACAAGTGCCTTTTTAACTGCGCGCATTTTGAAGACTGTAGTTTTAGAACAAATTACGGTACATAATCCGGATTTGCAATAAAAAGTGCTAGGGTCGGCGCGTAAAATTAGGGTCGGTCGGGTAACCGGAAACACAGGTATTTTTTTTTTTGGCCTTACTTGATCTGCTTACGTGCTATCTGACAGAATGGTGTCCTCTTCCTCGTCCATTAGTTGACTTACATTCTCCCAATTAACCGATTACTTACAAATTAATCTTATTTATACTAGAAGTAAAACAACTGTCTTACATTTTAAATTACCGAGCAAAACAGGTGTGTTATATAATTACTTCACACATTTTAAATGTCAGCTACGGTAAACAGTGAAATAAAACAAAAGATGTTTGTAAAACACTTATGCCACCCTCCCCCAAATTGGATTTTTTCTAAGTCCAAGGAGCAAAAGTCTGTCAAAAATGGCACTATTGTACCCAAAACATAACTTGACCTAGATATTCATCTGATAAATCTGTATACTAAATTTCATCTCAGCATGTGCAACGGTTGTGAAGAAAATGAACGGAAACTGCAAATAATTGAAATTTTCTAAGTCCAAGGGGCAAACGGAAACTGCAAATAATTGAAATTTTCTAAGTCCAAGGGGCATAACTCTGTCAATAATGGTGCAATCATACCTAAACCAGAACTTGACCTAGATATTAATGTGATATATCTGTATACAAAATTTCATTTCAGTTTGTGCAACGGTTGCAAAGAAAATGAACGGAAACTGCAAATAATTGAAATTTTTCTAAGTCCAGGGGGCATAACTCTGTCAATAATGGTGTGATCCTAATCAAAACAAAACTTGACCTAGATATTCATCTGATATATCTGCATACAAAATTTCATTTCAGTATGTGCAACGGTTGCAAAGAAAATGAATGGAAACTGCAAATAATTGAAATTTTTCTAAGTCCAAGGGGCATAACTCTGTGAAAAATGGCGCGATCGTACCCAAAACAGAACTTGACCTAGATATTCATCTGATAAATCTGTATACTAAATTTCATTTCAGTAAGTGCAATGGTTGAAAAGAAAATGAACGGAAACTGCAAATAATTGAAATTTTTCTAAGTCCAAGGGGCATAACTCTGTCAAAAATGGCGCGATCGTACCCGAAACAGAACTTGACCTAGATATTCATGTGATATATCTGTATACCAAATTTCATTTCAGTATGTGCAATGGTTGCGAAGAAAATGAACGGAAACTAAATGGACCGACAGACCGACCGACAGACAGCAGCAAAGCAATATGCCCTCCCTTCTTCGAAGGGGGGCATAATAACTCTCGTGATAATGATGAATTAACTGCTTTGTCAGTCCCCATTGTCATGCATTCCCAATTTATTGGCTAACATGTTTTTCATTATCACAACTGTATTACAAAAATTTGCTTACTGTAGAAGTACTTTTTTCCGTGTGGTATTAATTTACACTATGTACACGATCACAAATTTCCTGCGGAAATTCGTCCATGTGTTCTTGAGAATATATGTAATATCGTGACAGCCTAGGCAATCCTTGCAATTTTCTACACATGGATTAAACAGAAATGGAGATTCCGCGGAATTATGACCCCGTGGAAAAAAGTATGTCTACAATATTTCTGATATATTGTACTGATATATTGTACACAGGGTTACTAACTGTATAATTAACTAAAGCAGGCTTTGGGATGGACAAAGATGCCCTAATTCACGAGTACCGATAAGAAAACATTTACTAATGCAATACAAGGTGTATAGTGTGTAGCGCTTATTCATAAATACGCCAACTACTTGATACCAAGTGATTGTAGTTACATTTCATTATTGGCAAAATAAACTATTTAAATAAATTCTAAAATACTGTAAAATCATAAATAAAGGTATAAAATATATATATAAAATATAAAAAGAGAATGTTAAGTAGTAATGCATATGAAATTTTCCATTTTGTGGTGGTCATATTTGTCTCTCCATACTTTGAAAACAACGAAAATTACCACTCCAAAAAATTAATGATTTCACGGTAATTACTTACGGTTTTGGTTGGTAAGGGGAGGTAAGGACTGCACATCAGATGACTGCATGTGATTGTTGTTCCCTGAAATAAAAAAAAAATTCAGAGCATCAGCTCACTATAATACAGTATCAATATAATATAAATGTTAGGGTTGATCTAAAGCACTGTGAAGAAATTTGACCTTTAATCTACAGAATTACATAGTTTTGAAGAATTTGACCTTTGACCAACAGAATGTGAAGAAACTGACCTTCAGCCTAAAACATAGGTAATCAAAGATTACGAAGCTCACCTCGACGAATGTTATCAATTTAAGTAATGCAAATCCTACATCATATTTTCTTAATATTAAGTATTCATCCCAACAACAATATTCTTGCAAGTTATGCTTAACCCTCTACATGGTATATACACATTTCTATGCATGTAGTGTGAAAAACATGTATTGTGTAAACAAATATTCAAAACTATTAAAACTACAGATATCAAAGACTTCCAAGTTCATTCGGATTGATCTGTTCCCAAAACTTTAACCTGGGCTCTTATATGGAAAATATAGGTCAGATCTAGCATCCAAAGCAAGTCTGATAGTGTCCATCCTAAGATGCATCATCCATGCAAGTTTGGTTTAGCTAGGGCTTATAGTTACTTGGGAATGAAAATGTAGGTCAGATCCAGCATCCGAAGCAAGCCTGGTAGTGTCCATCCTAAGATACATCATCTATGCAAGTTTGGTTTACCTAGGGCTTACAGTTACTTGGGAATGAAAAATGTAGGTCAGATCCAGCATCCGAAGCAAGTCTGGTAGTGTCCATCCCTAGATACATCATCCATGCAAGTTTGCTTCAGGTAGGGCTCATAGTTACTTGGGAATGAAAATGTAGGTCTGATCCAGCATCCGAAGCAAGTCTGGTAGTGTCCATCCCTAGATGCATCATCCATGCAAGTTTGGTTCAGGTAGGGCTTATAGTTACTTGGAAATGAAAATGTAGGTCTGATCCAGCATCCGAAGCAAGTCTGGAAGTGTCCATCCCTAGATGCATCATCCATGCAAGTTTGCTTCAGGTAGGGCTCATAGTTACTTGGGAATGAAAATGTAGGTCAGATCCAGCATCCGAAGCAAGTCTGGTAGTGTCCATCCCTAGATGCATCATCCATGCAAGTTTGGTTCAGGTAGGGCTTATAGTTACTTGGAAATGAAAATGTAGGTCTGATCCAGCATCCGAAGCAAGTCTGGAAGTGTCCATCCCTAGATGCATCATCCATGCAAGTTTGGTTCAGGTAGGGCTCATAGTTACTTGGGAATGAAAATGTAGGTCAGATCCAGCATCCGAAGCAAGTCTGGTAGTGTCCATCCCTAGATGCATCATCCGTGCAAGTTTGGTCCAAATAGAGCTCATAGTTCCTTGGGAATGAAAATGTAGGTCAGATCCAGCATCTGAAACTAGTCTGGTAGTGTACATCCCTAGATACATCATCCATGCAAGTTTGCTTCAGGTAGGGCTTATAGTTACTTGGGAATGAAAATGTAGGTCAGATCCAGCATCCGAAGCAAGTCTGGTAGTGTCCATCCTTAGATGCATCATCCATGCAAGTTTGGTCCAAATAGGGCTTATAGTTCCTGTGGAATGGACCTACTCCAAAAACTTTAACCTGGTCACTCATCTAGACAATGTAGGTCAGATTCAGCATCCGAAGCAAGTCTGGTATTGTACATCCCTAGATGCATCATCCATGCAAGTTTGGTTCAGGTAGGGCTTATAGTTCCTTGGGAATAGACCTGCTCCAAAAACTTTAACCTGGTCACTCATCTGGAAAATGTAGGTCAGATCCAGCATCCGAAGCAAGTCTGGTAGTGTACATTCCTAGATGCATCATCCATGCAAGTTTGGTCTGGGTAGGACTTATAATTCCTTGGGAATGGACCTGCTCCAAAAACTTTAACCTGCTCCAAAAACTTTAACCTGATCACTCATCTAGAAAATGTAGGTCAGATCCAGCATCCGAAGCAAGTCTGGTAGTGTACATCCCTAGATGCAACATCCATGCAAGTTTGGATCAGATAGGGCTTATAGTTACTTGGGAATGGACTTGTTCCTAAAACTTTAACCTGGGACGCCGACGCTAACGCCGACGCCGACGCCAACGCCGGGGGTATAGCATAAGCTCATCTCGACTTCGTCGAGGTGAGCTAAAAATTGTGAAGAATTTGACCCTTTATCTATAAAACTGTGAAGAATTTGACCCTTTATCTATAGAATTGTGAAGATTTTGACCTCTGACCTACAGAATTGTGAAGAATTTGACCTATGACCTACAGAATTGAGGATCCTGTGAAGAGGTATATGTTGCTGTGTTATTTCCCACCCAGGTCGCTGTAGCGGCCATAGAACCTGAAAAAAAATATAAAATTTTAAACTGAAATCATATCCCTCAGAATAAAACAGACAAGCTGATTGGTCTAGAGCATGTCACTTGCAGAGAGACAATTTGTTATGTCTCCCTCATGTGCAGGGTGATATCTGTGGTGTCTCCCTTCAGATGAAAACAAGAGTAGAAGGAAGCATTTACGTTGACAATTGTGTTGTCTTCCTTTAGATGAAATTAGAATGCCTTGCACAAAATGACTCTTCTAATTTAGGGATATAAATGATACTGTACCATAAAATCAACAAAAAGAACCTCTCATAAAACTACGAAATTCCGGAGAATTGACTTACTGCGTGGGGGAAATGCGCTGATGTTGGATAATGTCGGTGATTGTGAGACGTGAGAGGACACCTGAGCCCCAAATCCCTCCCCCATCGGTGAGGGCAGACCGTGAGACATGGCACTGGCTGCTGCTGACAATACAAAAATAATCATATCAACGACACATTTCTGTGATGATTTAAAGTATTTATATCAATGACGCATTTCTACAATGATATTAATTTGACGCAATTCTATGATGATATAAAAGTAACAATGCATGTCTATGATGTGATGTTCCTCTGTGATGTCACAGTTTTGTTTAAGAAATTATACATGTAAATGTATTGTGTTTTTTGAATTTGCACCATTTTAAATTCGCCCATCTGTGAGTAGGGTGAAAGGGGCGAAAACGAAATGGGGGCGAAAATTTCCCTGTATTACACTACTTCCTAAACATCAGATATCAACTATAATGGCAGGGATGGGGTAATTGAATAAAGTAATTGTAACTGAGTGTAATTAATTACATTTTTCAAAGTAATTGGAAGTAATTTGTATTTGAGCGAGCCTTCAATTACAAGTAATTGAATGTATTTAAATACATTTCAAAAAAGGTCATGTATTTTCAATTACTTTTCAATTACATTTCAATTACTTTTTTATATTTAGAAAGGTGTCTTATACTGATACACAGTTTTATACTGGTGGGATTTTACTTCTTATTCCCACATTTTATCAATCTCAGTTCTCCCTAGTCACACTTGCAAATAACAATAATTGTTTAGATAGTTGATTTGTTTTACAGCAATAAGACAAACTACATTCCCTTTTAAATTTACCTGTATTCTATTCATTTTAAGATACAAAATAATAAATGGATTTGAGATAGATATTATTTAATATTTCCTTCAAAAATATGGATTTGAGAAAGTAACAAAAAAGATCTTGCCATACTCCATACTGGTGTAGAATGGGCTTGTGTTTGTACAATAATTAATTGTCTCATTTGTTTATACAGTGTGTCACACTCATTATAAGGTAAAGGACTAATTTTGACCAGGTGTGAACCCCTCTCATACCCAAGAACAAAAACACTGAATGAAAGTTCAAATTCGATTGCTATAGAAAAAATCTTATTAAAAAAAAAAAATCTTTTAAATTTTTTTAATATAAAAATAAAACTCAAGTAATTGAAATGTATTTAATTACATTTGTCAAAGTAATTGAAAGTAATTAATTACATTTGAAAAAATCAATGTAATTGTAATTGCAAGTAATTGACAAAATTATCAATGTATTTGAAAGTAATTAATTACATTTCAAAGTAATTGACCCCAAGTTTGTATAATGGATGCTACTCTACAATATAGACTAAGTACTGCCTAGGAATAACTTAAAAAGTTATACATACTATATAATGCTACTCTCCCATACTTATTTCTAGATATCATGTAATGCTTTACTAAGATACAAATCTAGTATTGTCTAAACATCAGATATCACCAATGTACAAAACAGCTGTGGTATAGCCAGGATATCAGATATCAATGATACAGATATTATACTGTCCTGGCATCAGACTAACTTCTCTCCAACTGCTAGAGAACTGCCTAGATATCGGGCAATAAGGAAATGTTAGTGATACAGCTATAATGCTATGTAGATATCAGATATCAACAATAATGCTTCTTAAACAGAGTACTGTATAAACAATAGATATCAAATATATATTGTATGTTTACTCTCAAACACAAAATAACATCCAAATATCATTGACAAGTAATTTGTCTTGCTGTATTTAGCCTTTTTTTTCAAAAATATTGATCTGAAAAAAAAAGAGGTAAACATTTGCTCACTCATACTTAATAAAAATGTTATTAGGCTAGCATCTTATTTTTTCTAGTTACTGTCTGCTACGCTGTTAAATCCTTAAAAAGCAAGATAGTGTGTTAGACATCACAAGCAAAAATAAAAAGCAATGTTTAATAGTTGATCAAGACTGGCAATTAGTACATTAAATTGTAAATAAATGTGGCTCTAGACTTGTAAACTTTTTCTGTTGTTTAATCCTTGATAAAATTTGGAATAAATATATCACACCTGCCTGAGCATAAAATCTTTAGAATCTGTGTTAATGCTATTTATATATATTTCTTATTATAAACTGTAAATACAATTGCTTTTGATTACAAATATTCTATGGTTGAAAATTGTCTTTGAATCCTTGAAAAAAAAATTCTGCTATGAAGCAAAATTATTTTAATTAAATCATGTCATTTCTCTGGAAACTTAAAATAATTTCAAATTCAAAATAGTGGGAAAAAAGGCTTCAGGATTCCAATAAGTCGTCAGAGCACATCAAACAAATCATTTTATTGGTTGCTTAATTATCTCTCAGCTACAGTCCATGAGAACCATACAATTGATACAATGACCTTGTCAGCAAATACAATTTATCATGAAGTTAAATGCTAACTGATGTTTTTCATACTAATTGTTAGGCCATTATGTACATAATGAATTATTGACGGATTTTTCTGTGATTTCCCCTGATCATGACAAGGAGCACACTGCGGGTGCGACTGGTTGCCAGGGGATGCTCACTCCACCATGGCACCTGATCCTACCTCTGATTTTTTGGAGGTCCGTGTTTGCTCTGCTCCTATTTTGAATTGTTTTATGGACTTCTGATCTTGAATACTGTTTCGTTATCTTTGTATATTTCACTGAGCAGGACCAAAAATATACCAAATGAATAATAATCACAATACAAGAGGAGCTTAGAAATTTGGATTTAACAGAAGGGCAGCAAACATAGCTACAGTTTTAATTTATTTGCCTGTGGAACAATAAATCAAATGTTATGGATCAGTGAATGTCACAAGTTCACTAGTCTTTACACCAGTGAATGTTCATGGAAAATTTAAACCACTACATTATTATTCATATCATCCATTTGCATATATGCAAATCACTCACTCATACCTATGCTAATGACAAAAGGAGAGACAAGACAAATTATTCAAATTATCTATTTGCATATATACTAATGACTCACTCATACACGTATATCACTACTAAGTCAAAAACATACTGACATTCCCATTTTTTACTGACAAACTTAGAAAATTACTGACAATGTGCTGTCGTTACTGTAAAACTTAGACAATTACTGACCTTTTTACTGCCGGTACTGATAAACTTAGAAAAGTGCTGACAATCTTAGTCGGTGCTGATAAACTTAGACAATTACTGACCCGTTTACTGTCCCTGCTGAAAAACTTAGACAAGTGCTGACATTTACTGATAATTACTGTCCCTATTGTTCTCGCTCTCGGGGAGGCTGCAGTGGTGTGAAAATGACTGTGTGTTATACTTTGCATTTAAATATAGTCTTATCTTAATATTTGATGAAAAAAAAAAATCCCAGGCAGTTATCTTTTTTTAATCTAAATATTATTGATATCTGTAAAATAATTCAGAATATGATTTGAAATTAATATTAAGAATGAGTAAATAAAGTTTAAATTTATGTGTTGAATATATCTATCCCTGTTTAATTCAAGAATTAAAATTAATTAATCATCAAGTTAGTTTTCATCTATTTATTTCTTTGCAGACAGATATCTGACTTTAATGTTGACCCCCCCCCCCCCCCCCTGTTTTCACGATCGGAAAGTTGTATCAATTTTCAATTTTCTTTTCACAAACACAAACAGGACATATGTCTCTTGTTAAAAAAGGAAATCTTCTAAATATTGAATAATTACTGATAGGTAATTAAGTTTCCTTATGTTCTCAGACATCTGTACAAGTCATATAATTATATACCCCTGTTTAAGATTTCCAGTTTCATTTCCTAATACGGGAGTTCCCCTATTGAACAGTACAGTGTTCCATATAAACTTGTACTATGCCTTGTTAATTTTGTCACTAAATACATTATTTCTAAATTAATAGTTAGTTGATCGATTACGCAGGGTTCATAAGTATCCAATGTCTGTAAGTCCGAGACTAATAAATATTTATCAGACTAGTAATAAAAATTCATGTACTAGCAATAATATAGTAATCTTACGGAAAACATTTATATTTACTACGTCAGCGGTAAGACTAATATTAGCAGTAGCACCATTCTCAAATATTTTTCTTTTCTCTCTCCCTCCCTCCCTCTTTCTCTCTCTTAAATATACAAACAGTATTGACACTTTAAGTTACTTAAATACTTGAGAAGTGCTCCGTTTATGCACATTGCCGAAGAGGTTAGATCACTATTTAGTTTTTTTAAACTTAATCTTTAAGTATTTTTTAATCATGATTCAATTTTAACAAAAATATTACATGTTTCGTACCTTCCATTTTCCCCTGTAGCTATCAGTGATTTGGAATTAATTTATTTTTATGTGCTGAAATTAAATTTCATCTCATTAAAGTAGGTAGGCGAAGGGTGTTATGATGTTAACATAATAATAAGTCAGAATGCGGACTTGTCTAGTAAAATATTTTACGAAGTAGTGAAAATTGGAAGTCATTAGTCCGTCGAACCAGTGCTCACAAATATTTATTTCGAACCCTCTAGCATACATGTATAAGTCTCCCCCTCCCCCCCCCCTCTATGCACACAGGTTACATGAAAAAAAATTCTAGTAAATCGGTACTTGAATATGATTTATAAAAATATGTAAGCTTTTTGAATGATGCAAATTTCTTTGTCCATTTGATAAATTTATACCCGTCCCGTAATCATTATTTATTTGATTCAGGTTTCATTAACATCTTTCCTTTTCATAAGATTAAGATTATTCGCTAACTGTAGGGTCCCACTATCTTCCGTGACGAGTTACCATTCATCTTTCTCTCTCCCTCCTCTCTCTCTCTCTCTCTCCAAAAAATCAATATTGACCCAGGCAAAGTTTAAAATACATGTATAGTTAAACTCCGGCTGATTTTTTTTTACTGTCATAATACTGCTGCATATAAATTGTGTTTGATTTTCAATTATTCTTAATTATTGATCAAAGGTTAAGGAAATATACTATGAACTATTTTTATTTGATTGATAATCAACAAATTCCTCACTCCACTGTCCCACACACACACTAACACAACTTAACAAAAAATATTAGGAACCAGTAATTTTTACAAAACTTTGGATGTAATGTACCCCTTCTCATATATTTATTTTTGCCTAAATCTTTAAACAATTTGTGTCTTTTACATCAATCTTCTTTTTCATTAATCTTTAATTTTATCTTACGTCGGTATATCAAAAACAATTATTTATTTAATCTAAGAAGAGGTTGAAGGATTGTAGATTGCATATTTATATTACGTATGTGTTGGTGTTGAATTTTTCAAATTCAAACTGCCTTGAAGAAGAGTCTACCTGTCACCGTAATGTTGCGTAACTAACTTCCAGTGAAATCCGGCGAGTGTTCTTCTGTATAATACAGCAGTGACACCTATTGTCTTCTTTACCCGCTACCCTACACACTCGGATCGCCTCAGGTGATTTCTTCTACACACAGGTGCTTCACAGAGTTTCCGATTGTATGTTGAATGATTATGTAATTCGGCTGGATACAAGCTAAACGACTTGAATAATTTTGGACGAATAAAAAGCACAGTGTTACTGTAACGTTGATTTATTAAGTTAATTAAATTTATTAATTTTTTTGTACCTAAACAGATGAAAAGGAGTACAAACTTAAACACGGCAGTATTAATTGTGTGTTCTACTTTAATAAGATAAATAAGTACACACATGTACATGTTCATCGTTCTTCATTTAGTTCGCACGTGTCCCCCCCCCCCCCCCAATTTTAATTTGAAAAGACAAAAAGAAACTAGATCCATGTGAACGTCTACCGACACTCTAATTGAAAAGAACATTGATATTAATTTCTATCAAAGTTTTGTTTCAGGTGTATGCATAGACAAAAGATGATAATATGAAATGTCATAGTTTTTCATGTATTTGAATTAAAATAACACTTTCAGGTGGGGATCCAGAAAATCCAGATTTGAAAATCAGCTAAAAGATGTACATTAATTCAAAAGAATAATGCGGACAGTAACTAAATCAATGAATGTCAAACGATTAATGATCAATGCAGGCCCGTATCCCCCCTCCCCCTGCCGAATGAATAAAATAAAAAGTCTTCTTTTTTTTTTTTAAATCCCCCGTCTGTCTTCTAATTTTGGTTTCTTCTTGCAAATGCTTGGATTCGGGTATGTTTGACTTCACAAAAAGAAATATGGGCGGCCTCCATATAATTAAAAGTTTTACATAATATGAAAACTATAAGAAACGCCTTTCCTCAAAAGCCCACGGCCTCACCCAAGCCATGAGTTTATTAAAATTATTCAAACCAATTTGAATATAAATTAAATTAAAATTGAATAAAACACATCTAACCTAACAGTTTAATTCTTTAAATTGATATAAAAGAAAGTCAGCGAATCAATGTTAATTAAGAAAATATTATAAAAATACATGTCATGTAATAACATTGTTTTATTATAAAAAGGAAAAGACCTCTGTAAAATTTCATATCTCATTACTAAAGGAAGATTATTATTTTTTTTAATTTCTTATCTTTTTGAAGGTTTTGATTTATCCCTAGGCTTCTCTTGAAAATATTTTTTACAAATCAGTTTTCTATAAATAGATCAAAGAAGTTTTTTTTCAAAGATATCATCTGGAAATAGTAAAAAATTATATGAAAAAAAAACTAATAAATAAAATAATAATAATGATAAAATAAAAGAAAAATCAATTTCACATCACTGCAGCCTCCCCGAGAGCGAGAACAATAGGGACAGTAATTATCAGTAAATGTCAGCACTTGTCTAAGTTTTTCAGCAGGGACAGTAAACGGGTCAGTAATTGTCTAAGTTTATCAGCACCGACTAAGATTGTCAGCACTTTTCTAAGTTTATCAGTACCGGCAGTAAAAAGGTCAGTAATTGTCTAAGTTTTACAGTAACGACAGCACATTGTCAGTAATTTTCTAAGTTTGTCAGTAAAAAATGGGAATGTCAGTACGTTTTTGACTTAGTAGTGTATGCTAATGACTAAAGGAGAGACAAAACAATTTATTCAAATTATCCATTTGCATTTATGCAAATCACTCACTCATACAAATGCTGAATGCAGATGACAAAAGGAGACACAAAACAAATTATTCAAATTATCTGTTTGCATATATGCAAATCACTCACTCATACATATGCTGATGAGGAGAGACGAGACAAGAACTAATTATGATGTCCCATTAATCTGAAGATGAAGACAACTTTAAGATGAGGACTCCACAAAATGTGTATCAAATCATATACTGTAATTAAACATACAAAGCAAAGCATGCTGCGCAGTTATGAGGTCAAGCATTAGGCGTGTATAAGCTAAGACAGAAATAAAGCGTGCTTATAATGTGTCCAGAGAAAATGTGCTCTAAATTCTTCCACCTACAATAATTTGGGAATTATTGATATCTCGGGCTTAAAGTTGTGGTATAGATACACATAAGGAGGAATTTATCTGACTAGAACAAGTCTAGCGTTGTTCTTTATCATAAGCTTTTACCAAACGTGCAGGCAAAGAATAACCGATGGTTATTTTATATGTAGTTTAAGATTTTTGTTAAACAGCAAGAATAAGGTATTCATCTGCTAACATAATTTTTAGTCTGAAGTCTTTCTGGATTGATTTTGAAGCATTTGTCACATTCATATATTCATGATATCTGTAATAGAAGTTTGAAATGTTTGGCCTGAGAAAATAATTTTTTTGGCCTTAAGCAACTTTTTTACAGAACAATTTATTGTAAGGATCATTTAACCTATAAAACTGAAATTTTAAACAATGCCAGGCATTAATACAATGACTTTGGGTCATTCTAATTTTGTTAATATAATATTGACAGGAAGGGGACAGAATGTAGCAAACCCCCTTTCTCTGGACACACTTCAGTTCAGCCAAGCAGTAGGGAAAAAAAGCTGTGTGGATTAGGAAATCTGCAGCACAAAAACTCTTGCCAGACATACAGATGTCAATATACATGAAAACATCTACCGCACCAAGATTACATGACAAGCAGTTCTACGTCAAACTAAAAATAGAACCTGATTGTGCCTGTGGCGATAAAGGATTGGCCTGGGGGGACATTGGATTATGTAGGGGGGTGTTGGGGGCACTGGGGCCCCGCCCCAAGGGGCTTGAAATAGCTGGTCCTGCTGTGTGAGGGTGCTGTGGTACAGTCGACTGAGGGCCGGATGACCCTTGACCTGTGTTTAAATCAACCAATCACAGCATTATAAACCAATAAAATTTAAATGACATCCATCCTAAAAATAAATATACAGCACAATTAAGGCTATTGAAAATGAAAAACACAGTTTAAAATTAAATGTGTCAAAATAAAAATTTAGCGACATACATTGATCACTATAGTGAACAGCTGAGGCAATTTCTGATATGTCAGCCCACAATTAAATGTAAAACAGTAAGCAAAATCAATGTGCTTGATCAAATTCAAAATAAAGATTACATTTATTTTGACAGTGAAAAACAAATCATTTCTTCCATGCAGATTCTCTTAGAAAATAGTGAAAAAATAAGAAGTTTTTCATTCCCCAATTTAGTTCACAAAGAGAATCAAAATGTTTATGAGAGATTAAAATATTTTTTTTTTTTTTTAAATATAGTTCAAATTTTGAAAATTCTATCATGATTATTTTGACAATTAATTCACTAATTATTTATTGATTGATTGATGGGAATTTATGCAAAGTTTTAATTTATCTTTAATTAAAAAAAAATTATTTTTGGAGATTTTATGTATGATTTTTTTGAAAGCAAAAAAAAATTACCGTTTAATAAAGTTAAAGGTATAAAATTCATCCTGCAGCCCTAATAAAGAGAACAAAATTGCCCCCCCTAAAAAACTATCCCCATCAAGTACCCAACAATGAGAACAACACAGACACCGACCCATGCCGCCGGACGTCAGGATCCGAGCGAACTCGCTCTGAGGAGGATGCTGTACTGTTTGTGAGACTTCCTCAGAACTCGACATGCTCATCCCGATCTCGTTACCATACTCGTCCTTAACAAGGCGAGAGGGCGGGGCTGAAATATCAGAAACGACGTCAGAACTCGTAAATATCAGAAACGACGTCAGAACTTGTAAATATCAGAAAGGACGTCAGAACCAGTAAATATCAGAAACGACATTAGAACTAGTAAATATCAGAAAGGACGTCAGAACCAGTCAATATCAGAAACGACGTCAGCACCAGTCAATATCAGAAATGACATCAGAACCGGTCAATATCAGAAACTATATCAGAACTGGTCAATATCAGAAACTAAGTCAGAACCGGTCAATATCAGAAACGACGTCAGAAACTGGTCTGTATAGTCACGAGTAGACCTCATCAGAAGTCAATAATTGTATACTAAATAGGAACTGGTCAATCTCAGAAATGATGTCAGAACTGGTCAATATCACTAACTATGTCAGAACCAGTCAATATCAGAAACTATATCAGAACCGGTCAATCTCAGAAACTATGTCAGAACCGGTCAATATCAGAAACTATGATTGTCAATATCTAAAACTATGTCAGAACCCGTCAATATCAAAAACTATGTCAGAACCAGTCAATTTCAGAAACTATGTCAGAACCAGTCAGTATCAGAAACTACGTCAGAACCTGTCAATCCAGGCCAGTCATTTTTCTAAAGTCAATTTTCGTGTGAATATTGGCTCTTTGCCCTCTTCAACAAATTATTATTTTTTCCATCATTTAATTTTTTTTCTTTCTGAAATAGTATGAAGATTTATTCAGTGTTGTTTCTGAATCTTTTATGTACATCTTATATAACCAGAAGCTCTATCATTCTCCTTCATTTAGATTCTTAAATTAAATTTGAAAACAAATATATTTCATTGCATAGCTAAATATATCAAGAAATGCACTGCTTATGTTCAGTAGTCATTTTAATGAATTTTACCAAGCTTGATTCAAATGGCTCCTAACTGTCAAAGCCCAGACCATTTTTTTAAAAAGAAGAGTAGAAAAATCACTGCCATTCCAACAAATATTAAATCTAAGCAGCAACTGAATAAGGAAATCTTATTCTGAATATCATAAATTTCATTCAGAAAATTTAGGAATCCTAGTGTTGGAAAAAAAGACCTTTTTTACACCAATTCGTTGCATTCGCTGTTCATGTTTTTTAAAGCAAGAAGATTTAGACACCCTCATATTTACTGCAGTTAATTCCAAAATTATAGTCTTTTTCTGAATATAAAGAAACACATCATAGTAAACAAGTTAAGGAGGCTGGGGGTCAACAAATTAACCACAAATTAGCCACCAGATTTAACTTACTTTTTTAGATATGATATCTTAAGCTGTCAACTATCAATTGGCAAAGAAAACCAGAAGTCTCTATCGAGACTGTTCTACTGGTTTATACTTAAAACAAAGGAAGAGAAAAGTAGCAGTTGGGACTTGAGACTTTAAATCAGCAATAAATAGAAAAATGATCCTTGCCACTCATCAAAATAAAAACCGATGCACAGAATTAAGTATCTTAGTATAGTCTACTTGTGTACCAAGTTATACTGAAATCGGACCAAAACTGTAGGAGGAGTGGCATTTTGAAAGAATTTCACAGAAATTTCCATTTTTAGTAACCACGGCAACAGCGTTCATCGGAATCAGAAACCGATGCATAGTATTATGTATCTTAGTGTAGTCTACTTGTGTGCCAAGTTATACTGAAATCGGACCAAATCTGTAGGAGGAGTAGCATTTTGAAAGAATTTCACAGAAATTTCTATTTTTAGTAACCACGGCAACACTGTTCATCAAAATCAAAAATCGATGCATAGAATTATGTATCTTAGTGTAGTCTACTCGTGTGCCAAGTTATATTGAATTCAGTCCAAAACTGTACGAGGAGTAGTGTTTTGAAAAATTGTTTACAGACAGACAGACGGACGGAAGACGGACGCCTTACTATTGCATGAGCTCTTCTGGTCTCTGACCAGTAGAGCTACAAATTGGTTGGAAGATTTTAAAAATAAATTGTTAACACACCAAAAGTTCAATCAATAATATTTCCTCAGTTGAGAATATACAAAGCGTCCCCAGAGTCCACAAATCTTAATAATCATAATTTGATGCTACTTACAGTTGCCTTTAGTTCATACAATCAGATTAGTTACCTGCATGTTGGATATTGAGTCCAGACAAATCTGAAAGAAAAAAAAATTCAAAATTAATTAACATCTTCAGAGTTTCCGAAAACTAACTGTCCTACTGGCAAAACCGATAGAAAATCGCTATGTCTAATGAAATTCCCTATAGTACCGGACCGTGTGACCGATTGTGGTGAGGGCTTGTCCTGATTTATTTATTGTACTCTGATCTATTGCAATGTCTTCAAAAATGAAAATTTTCAATGCATCGTGCTACTGTTCTTCCTAAATATATATAATCTTATCTATTTTGCAATTCTACTTGACTTATTTACTTCCAAAAACAATCGTTTTTTTTTTTTCTAATCTGAATTTCCTCCATTCCTCAGTTATGGTAAACACATGCAGTATATAGGTCATTTTATTATTATTTTTAATTTTATTCATAACTCCTATTTATATATGATTCAATTTTACAAGTGAGAATTAAACTTTTAATTTTAAAAAGAATACTAGAAACTTTAAGAAATTAGCTCTTTCAAGAATATACTTTTTTTTCATTTTAGTTGTTTCTTTCCCCCTAGTCAGTGACTTTATTGCTGCCACAAGCCTGTGTGGGCTGGTGCCATGCTTGAATTCTTTAAACATGTAGTTGCAATATAGAATGCTGGACAACTCGCCCCCAAGACAAGTCGCCCCCAAGACAACTCGCCACCTTTTCAAGACAACTCGCCCCCAATTTAGGACAACTCGCCCCCTGTTAAGACAACTCGCCCCCAGGTTAAGACAACTCGCCCCCAGCTTTAGGAAAGCAAATTGGGGGCGATATTTTTTATATAAATGTATATATTTTTTATTAAATATATATATTTTTATATTATTTCGATATTTATTTTTATTTTTTATCAACTGTATACAAGTAATTTTCGAGGCTTGCATGCTTTAATTCTTCATTACTTCAAAGCTGTTTTGGAGCTTGGACAAGCCAATTTTTGATCAACTAAATATACGTAATTTTCGGGACCTGGTCCTAATTGATCATCACTTTGAAGTTCCAAATTACTTGTGAGCTTGGGGATTTCATTAAAATTCTGTCTGCTGTTTTCATTTCAGTTTAAATAATTAAGATTGTTCAACTTAGAACATTGCACTTGATTTACCTAGACATGTTCTACAGATATAAATTTAAAACAATATGAAAAATTAAAACGCATTTATTTGCTTTATCTCATAAGAAAAAAGTCTAAGGAAATAATAAATATAATTTTATACATATACTGTGTTCACTAAATATATATGAAAAAACCAAACAAATAACAACATATTACACACACAATCGTAAATATTAATTTTATTTTACCTATAATAAATATCAATTATAAATCATAGATTAATCTTGCATTTAAAATATATTTTATTGAATAATATATGTCGTTTTTTTTGCATGCAATACACAATAAAATATAATGGGGCGAGTTGTCTCTACAGTGGGGGCGAGCTGTCCTGAGCGGGGGCGAGTTGTCCTAAATTGGGGACGAGTTGTCTTAACAGGTGTTGGGGGCGAGTTGTCTTGGGGGCGAGTTGTCCTGATTCCGCAATATAACCCTGGTATCACAATCAGTGTTGATGAGCCATGAAAAGATTAACAAATTCAATGCAGGGGTGTGCAATTAGAAAAATTTGTTACTAGCCCACGGGCTAGTGGCAGCTATAAAGTTACTAGCCCTAAGTAAAAAGTTACTAGCCCAAATATAGGGGCAAAAATTTAAATAAAATGATATAAATTGTTGAAAAAGTCAGGGTACTGAGTTAATTCTTTTTAAAATTAATGTATAATTCTCACTATTAAATTTAAAAATCATGTTTAGATTATCATGAAAGAAAATTAAAACGAATTTAAATAAATTATCTTCCCTCTTTCTGATCATTGCACTAGCAGCAGCTCATTTAGAATGAAATTAAATTCATTTTGTTTTCATGTTTAATCATAAAATACACTAGAAATATATTTTATGTGTGTCACAAAACACTTATTTTTCAGTTGATTGAGTGATTGGAAATATTTTATTGAGATATCTGTATGTATTTACTATAAACAGAGGAATAGAGGAAATTCGGATTAAGAAAAAAAAAAAACGATCGTTTTTGCAAGTAAACAAGTGGGGTAATATTGCAGAAAATATTGAGATATATTGAAAATTGCAGATAATATTGAGATTTATTGACAGTTGCAGCATGTTGTCTGGAAAATATTCACTGGTTGGGAATAAAATAGCAAAAAACCCGGTGAAAATATCGGTTGTGCTTTTTATGTATTGCATGTGTTGTTAAAATTTTTACTAGCCCGTCGGGCTACCTCCTTGCAGAAAATCACTAGCCCGGCCCCCAAAAATGGTAGCCCCGGGCGTCGGGCGATGCTAATTGCACACCCCTGCAATGCCTTTTATTTTGAAATACATCATGAAATATACACTGTCCTATTCTAAAATTTATTCGGACTGATAGAATATGCTTAGGACTGGTAGAAGGCATTAAGTCGCCAGTCCGAATGACTGATAGAAATATTTGGTTTTCGGAAACTCTGCATCTCATGACTAATACTAAACATGGACAAATGTTACAGTCTACAGTATGTTCAGGTTTTCAAAACAAGATAAACTTTAAACAGTGTAATTGTTAATGTCATTCATGATAAAGAAATAAACACATCATAGATAAAATTGATCTTTTAATTAATTATTCTCAACTGTAAATCAGATAAAAGGTAAACAAGGCCACCGCTAAGCGGAGCATCCCCTCGCGACAGGAACTTCACCGGTAATGGCAATATCTCATAAGAAATAAATTCTCTCGAGGGACATTCTTCTTCTGTTTAACAACAAAACTTCAGAGTCAGTGTTTTCCCAAGGCCGTTTTTGCATAGCGATACCGCCATGCATTCATGATCTCCCGCCATGCATCACATGTTGCCACCATGCTTCCCGCTATGCATGAGTTCAATTTTTTTTAAAATCAATTGTTGAATATTTTTTAAGTAAAATTGACAATTTATTCAAAATGTATTTATCATTTAATTAAGTAATGAATATGTATTTTATATTTTAAATAAACACATATTTGCATGTACAATTAATTTAACCGACACACATCACACGCCATCTATTCAGCGAAATTCCCCCCATGCATCAAAAATTTTCTGGGGAAAACACTGAGAGTACTGGAGATTACTTGTTGGTGTTGGTGTAAACATGTTAAAGATTGATAGTACAATGTATTTTGTTTAATGTCCCTCTCAGGAATTTTTTGCTCATATGAAAGCTTGCCGGTGGGGAGCTGCACATTCTTTCCTATAATAGGAACTGACAACCATTGAAAAGCAGACCTGTTTACCCATATCGTCGTCTCTCAGTATTTCTGATTAGATTTCTCCGTGAGATTTAGCATTTGCCAGTAAGATTTAACTTTCCGTCGATTTTACATATTTTAAAAGAGAACAACTGCTTTTTTTATTACAAAAACTTAGTTTAACAACATGGTCTTTAACATTTTTTAATACCACAGCATTTTGACAACCCGACATCACTTAAGTTTTTGAAATTTTTCTCTTTTTTTACCGATTCAAAAGTGTGAGAAGACAGATCATAACGAAAACTAAATGCTAAGTTCCAAACGAACGTATTTCCTATTTCCGTATTTTCATAATAGCAAAACGTTAGACGTATTTTTGGCTAAAAATCCGTACAAAATATGGTGAAATCGTGAGAGTAAACAGGTCTGGAAAAGTGAGGGATCTTTTTGTGCCAGCATCTATTGGGACATGGGCCCTTGGTTTACACGGTCTCATTCAAAGGACCAGTGACTTAGTCCCCACGTCCCACAACGGGATTCAAACCCGCAACATTAGGATCTACTCCCTTACTTTTGACAAAATTATTAGTGAGGTGTTGTTGTTCATCATTTTTTTTTTTACAAAATGCAACGTGCATAGCATCTTGGTTAAAGGGGTGGGGGCATAATATGGATACCTAATCTGGGGTAGTAAAGTTTAATTTTATAACATATTACATTGTTTTTCTGCACAGTTTTTTAAAACAAAGTTATCGGGGGAGGGGGATGTCTATTTTTAACCAAAATCAAATTGCATAGTATTTTTGGGGGGAGGGGGGCAAAATATGCATACGTAATTGGGCAGTTTTCCTTATACCTAGCAGAAACATATCACGTATGCTATATGTATAAGTTTCAGCAATTTTAATTATTTACCTACCTAAGTATACCTCACAGTTCCAGGTAATATGCATTTTTTTCGTAATGAAAAATAAAAATGTACATATATGTATGTACATCGAGAGGTTAATTTGTACTTGAGGACTGTATTTACAGCTTTCAGGAATAACGTGCACCCCAAATTCCGAGACACCTGTTGGAATTTGGTAATGAAACAGTGGCATTCACCATATTCTCTTAATCCGGTTCCCGCAGACTCGACACGCCTTTTGAACTTTAAAACTGGCTCTTAAACTGGTTCCCTAGCGGAAATGATTATTGTCAACTTGTACATAAATGTCAGGGTTTCAAGACAGTGAAAACGCGATATCTGAAGAAATATTTCAACAATGAACTTGAAAATGAATAGGCTTCATCTTTTTATACTGCCACACAAGTATGAAAACGCTGAGAGTGGTTAATGCAAAGGTTTTCTGTCAATCTTGCCCATAAGGTGTAACAAACACACTAACATACTAACACACTAACACACACACATACGCACATTCGCGATGCTATATCCCCTCCACAACTACTTGCACGAGGGGATAATTAAAATAAAGTGCATAGCCATTAGCCAAATTTCCAAAGATTTTGTTCATTTCATTCAGATTTCCAAACTTGTCCATGTTTTTTACCCCCAGAAGTTTGATCCTGTCCTGTTTTTTATACATGAGAGAGAGAAAAGAAAGACACAACAGAGAGAGAGAGAGAACAGATAGAGAGAGAGAGTAGAGATCAACAGAGAGAGAGAGAAGAAAGACACTAAAAGAGAGAGAGAGGACACCAACACATTACGTACCTATCCCAGGAGACACCACCCTCTCGTAGTGGTAAGGATTGACACACACGCTGTCCTGTTTGAGGTCGAAGGCGTAGTGACAGAACTTGCAGTGCTTCAGTTCATTCTTGTGGAGGTCTGGCCATCTCCAGATCCGCGCGTAAATCACGTGAGGGAAACCCTTACGTCCTGCGACCTGAAAAACATAAAACAGTATCGAACAACTCTTTATTTCATCCAGTATTCATTAATTCTCCCGAAGGCGTTTATGCATAAATTTATCATGAAGCCAGTCGATTGATCATCGTTATGAAACCAAAAAATCTTACAGTTATTCCTTATTGCTTATCATGACTTAGGAAAAACGTTCCTGTTTTCTATTCACCCAGTGTTCATTAAGAATCTTTACCTGATATCACTAGCCTTAAGGAGGCTGGAGGGGGGGGGACAAATTAACCATCCAGGGCTCGACATTAACTTTTTTTCCTACTTGTCCATTCGGACAAGTGACCAAGACATCTACTTGTCCGAATTTCAACTTCACTTCAATGTCCGAAAATTTTCAATAAAGTTCAATAGTTTCAACTTGAAAATTAGAATTAAGTCCATTTATTTACACATGTCATGCGCTTGCTTGATTCTTGATGTTATTGTTACAGACAGATAAAACGAAATTTAATTTAGGCTTTCTGTCCTGACAATAACATAAATGTCCACCAGTGAAACTGTCAACATCAAACAATATTCACTACTTCGATTCGTATCTTCCATGACTTTTCAGTGCAATTATAGTGAACTTCGATCCCAATCGAATGTGAACTAAATATTAATATAACGATACCAGAACTGTTTACCCTTATCGTCGTCTCTCAGTATTTTTGATCAGATTTGTCCGTGAGATTTAACATTTACCAGTAAGATTTCGCTTTCCATTGATTTTACGTATATAATTAGAGAACAACTGCTCCTTTGATTACTAAAACATGGTAAAATAACAATTTTTTTTGTCATTTTATACCACACATTTTTGGCAATTCGAAATCACCGATGTGCTTGAAATCTTTTTCTTTTATAGTGATGAAAGGGCGTGAAACTGAGACAGATCATAAGGATGATTGATTGATTGTTTAATGTCTCTCTCAAGATTTTTGTTCTCATTTTGACGCCACCATCCGCTCTGGAGAGCTGCTCATTAGCTCTCTACTCAATATTCAAGGCCTTCGAGCAGGAAGGGGGCTGTTTCGTGCCAGCACCTACTGCGACACAGGGCCTCAGTTTATACGGTCTAATCCGAAAGACCGGTCTCCGAGTCGTACAAGTATGAGTCGAACCCTCGATGTAAGGAGCAAGTCCTTAATGCGCAACTCTTAGAGCAGACGCTCTGACCACTGCGCCACGCAGATCATAACGATTAATAGTCAATGATTTTTGTTGTTGCAGAGTCAGCATTCTTTCAGCCGTATCTAAGCAGATCATAACGAAAACTGCTAAATTTCTAACGAACGGATTACCGTATTTTCATAATAGTAAAACGTGAGACGTATTCTGGATTAAAAATCCGTAAAAAATACGGCGAAATCGTGAGAGTAAACAGCTCTGCGATACATATCGGGATCGAAGTTTGGATTTTATGTACAGCTTCCGTCTTGAGTTGAGACCACCAATTTAGCTTTCAACAGTCGTTCTTTTTATTATTTAGAGACTCCTTTACATTAAAATGCACTTGTCCAATCAGACAAATGCCCAGCAATATTCCCTTGTCCGAATTTATTTTTCATTGGTACCGGACAAGCGGACAAGCGTTAATGTCGAGTCCTGCAACCAGATTTAACTTATTTTTTTAGATACGGTATCCTAAGCTGTCAACTATCATTTGGCAAAGAAAAAAATCAAACATTTTAGTTTTAAAATTTGATCATTTTTGTATATCTTTATATGGAGCTCTTCTTTTAAAGGAGATCAAAATAGTCTGAAAATGACTGCCACCCCTAGCCTCTTTAAATAAACTTGCTACTCACAATAAAGAAGGACAGGGATTAAATCCTGTAAAACAAACTTTTATTCATGACTATCTTTATTCATATGATTTTTAAGTTTGAAATCCAGTGGTAAAAAATAAAGTTGTTTTCCAGATATCCAATACAATAATTATCTACTGTTAATTAAGTGACCCATTTTGTGGAGTCGGCATTTCTAAATGCTTACGTGCTTGAGAACTTATCACAAAGTTCATAACTGTAAATTAATCTGTTTGTAAATACTTTTGTGAGTGGGTGCTCTTAATTATGACCTGAATAAAACCTTTCCAGCATGCACCATACAGAGTAAGTGACACACTTTGTGAAGTGAGGACCACTTATGACCTAATTATTAATACCTGTAGTTTTCTGACTAGTGTATGCTATATGGTCATACACTTGGTGGAGTGGGGGGGGGGGGGATAGTGTAAATGACGTAGTTATAAATATATACATTTGCTGTGTTTTTCTAGTAAGCCAACTGTGACATTGATTTGAATACCATTTTCGTGTATACTCACACGTAGAAATATACACGGAGAAATGTGCGTTAATGTGACGTCACGAGGCTACAGCTATGGTAGTAAAAGTATAACGAAATACGGCAGCGAGAAACTCAAATATTGAGTACATTTTTTATGCTTTTAGACATTGAAAATGTAAATATAAGGAATGTTTTTAAGTTTAGAGTGAATGACTGGTGTGTGAATCACACAGACTTGCACGTAGGCATATTTTTCATGAAGCTCTAGCGCGCTTCATGAAATATGCCTACATGACAAGTCTGTGTGATTCACACACCAGTAACTCACACAAAACTTAAAAACATTCCTAAAATACCTGCAGTCTCCCGTCTAGTGTGCGCTGTATGGTCACACACTTGGTGGAGTGGGCCCCGCTGGTGGTTATGGCCGTAATGAGACTGTCCAATTCGTCCCTCTTCTCCTTTAATTTTTTTACCAGACTTTCGATGGCACGCTTGGCGAAGCTCTCACTCTCCCCACCCTGGCGATGACACATAAGACTGTGCACGATACTCAGACACGCGTCGTTAGACGTCGGTGCCTGCGTCATGACTGACTGGTTCTATTTCCTAGTCTTGGAATTCTAGGCTCACTGGCTGTTTCTTTCTGTATGTCTGCCTCTTACTTCTAATGTTTTACATTTTCGATGGTGAGAGAGTCACTGAATACCTGTAATTTAGAACATTATTTTAAAATATCTCACAAAATGAAACCATATACCTTGATTGTGTTTCTTGCTCACTGAGCCCACAGATCCGACAAGCAAAAAATTTCTATTGATGTAGCCTTAAAACATAAAATAGGAGCTGCATAAAGGCATTATGTACTTGTCTGAATAAATTCCCAATTCAAACAAGAGGCCCACGGGCCTTATAGGTCACCTGAGTATCATGTAACAACTTTCCAGCGATTGTATTTGGTTCGTGTTTTAAGCCAAAAGCCATGAAATTCACAAATTTTGAAAGAGGCACCATTGCTTATCAAAGGGCAGATTCCAAAGCATTAATTCATTTTTAGTCAAAGTACCCCCTTGGTACCCTTGACCCAGCAGCCCTGAAATTATCTATTTTGAAAGAGGCCCCTTTCTTCATTATAAGGCCAGCATTTTTTTTTTTTTATGTTTAAGTTTAGTTATGAACATGAGAATAAAAAAATCCCGAAGGAAAAGGAAATAAATTTTTTTGATAAATCAATTATTAACATTTGTACATTCTTTTTTTATGCTATCCTAATAGGCTCCTTACCACTGGACACATAATGCTTACAAATAGGAAAGTAAAACATTTAATTGCTTATTTCATCATCTGCCAGTTTGGGCCAGTTATATAAATTTTGTGATGTTGATCAAAATATATTTTAAAAAATCAATTCTTTAAAAGTCTTTCAATATATCTTCATTTTTTTAATATGTGTTAGGTGAATGTGTAGACATTGTTCTAAAATTTACTTGATGCCTAAAATTATAATTCCTATCATAAAACAGACAGGAAGTATTGGGGAGTAGGGTCAACATTTTTTCAATTAAGTGTAAAATAATTTTTCTGGCTGATACAAATGATACTACATGCCTGTATATATTTGTATATTCTTGCCTTTTAATAGTTGAAATTTTTTTTTTATTTCTTCACTTCAGGTTATTGTTTATTTCTTCCTCAAATGGACTTCACTTCTCCCATAGTTTTATTCATTACATCTGATGCATAAGCAACCATTTTCTGAAGAATGATGCTTAGACTGTAAGCTATAACAGAGACCTAAACAATGTCCCTGGCAATATGCAATAGCTACCACGGGCATTTAAAACCTGGGAGAGGAAAATAATTTACAGTTACTTTTGAAACGAATACATAATTATCTCACCCGCATGTCATTGTGCAACAAAGTCGTCAGCATTTTATTTGTCCTTTGAACGGGTGAAACGTTTTGAATGGCATTCTTATCGATGAATTTTACACTAAACCAAGCTAAATTCTTGGATCTAGCTTTATTTACCCGCCGTTTCAAATTAAAACCGGAAGTGCGAGTTCGTAAATTTGAAACCTCGATCCCGACTCAAATTTGACATCGGAAAGAAAATTTTTTTTATTTTTTTCTAAAAATTCAAAACCTCGAGTGGGGGGTTTGTAAAACTGAAAATAAAATAAATCCTGGCCTTAGATATGTAATTAGATCATTAGCATATTAACCAATAGAAAAGGATAAGATGTTCAAAGAATGAAATCCAGTCAAAGCGCCCCATAATAAAACCGTCCCGGTCAAAGCGTCCCCTGATTTTGGTCAAAGCGTCCCCTGATTTTGGTGAAAATGTCCCCTGATTTTGGTCAAAGCGCCCCTTATAGAATTTTACAGTAAAATGATGTTACAAAACCACCCCCAAATATTGGTCAAAACGCCCCCAAATATTGGTCAAAGCGTCCCCTGATTTTGGTCAAAGCGCACCCTTACATTTTTTCTTAGAAAAAATCGTCTTGGAACCGTCCCCAAGCAATGGTCAAAACGTCCCTGATTTTGGTCAAAGCGTCCCCTGATTTTGGTCAAGGCGCCCCCTAATATATTTTTACAAACATGTTACGGTAAAAAAAAAGTTTTGTATTTATAATATTATCATTGTTTTGCAGTTACCCGAAAAAATTCTATAAAGGGGCCCTTTGACCAAATCAGGGGACATTTTGACCATTTCTTGGGGATCGACTCGAAACGTTTTTTTTTTTCTGCAAAAATATATTAGGGGGCGTTTTGACCAAAATCATGGGGCGCTTTGACTAAAATCAGGGGACGCTTTGACCAAAATTTGGGGGTGGTATTTTTTTTCTATAAAAAAATGTTAAGGGACGCTTTGACCAAAATCATGGGGCGCTTTGACTTAAATCAGGGGACGCTTTGACTAAAATTAGGGGACGCTTTGACCAATATTTGCGGGCGGTATTTTTTCTATAAAAAAATGTTAAGGGACGCTTTGACCAAAATCATGGGGCGCTTTTACTTAAATCAGGGGACGCTTTGACTAAAATTAGGGGACGCTTTGACCAATATTTGCGGGAGATATTTTTTGTATAAAAATATGTTAGGGGCGCTTTGACCAAAATCAGGGGGCGCTTTGACTAAAATTAGGGGACGCTTTGACCGGGACGTTTTTATTAGGGGGCGCTTTGACTGGCTCCCCAAAGAATTCATGCATTTCACTATATAATCATTAGAGCCCCACCCTAAAACAAGAACCCCTGACCCTGGGGCCATAAAATTCACAATTTTGGTAGAGGCACTCTTGCTTATCATAACTATGTACTTAGTTAGTTTATTCAATACCCAGGAGCAGAGAACAAGATTTTCAAAGAATTCATGTATTTTCACTATATAATCAATAGAGCCACGCCCTAACACCAGAACCCCTGTCCTTGGGGCCATAAAATTCACAATTTTGGTAGAGGCACTCTTGCTCATTATAACTATGTACTTAGTTGGTTTATTTAATACCCAGGTGCAGAGAAGAAGATTTTCAAAGAAATAATGCATTTTCACTACCTACTTATTTAGCCCCGCCCTAGCACTAGAACCTCTGACCCCAGGGCCATGAATTTCACAATCTTGGTAGAGGACTCATTGCTGATTACAATCATGCAAACAGTTTGACTGCTTGATGTCCAGGAGTAAAGAAGAAGATTTTTAAAGATTGCATTAATTTTAGTGGTTTTGGCCCCACCCCTCAGGCCCCAGGGGGGCAGGGATCATGAAATTCACAATTTTTGTTCCCCTTCACCCATAGATGCTTTGTGCCAAATTTGGTTTAAATTGGTTCAGTGGTTGCAGAGAAAAAGCTAAAAATGTTCAAATGTTAACGCACGACGAACGACGCACGACGCACGACGAACGACGACGGACGAAAACAGATAGCAATAGGTCACCTGAGTTTACTCAGGTGACCTAAAAAAACAAGAGGCCCAGGGGCCACATCGCTCACCTGAGCAAATCGGCTAGGAAAAAGCACAAATCAGAAAGGGGGGGTGTTGAATTTAATACTACTTGGGAATGCTTTCATATTAATATAGCATATGACTTTGCTGTTCTTGATAAAAAGATATTTCAAAAACATTTTCTTCCTATATATATAACTTCATAAAAATTTGAATTTGATTCCCCATTGTTTCCCTCCCTACCCAAAAGGGCCATGATTTGAATAAATTTAAATCAGGATTTGAACAAACTTAATTCTACACTACCCGTAAATACTTCCATATAAATACTAGTATCACTAATCATGGCTTTGCTATTCTAGAGAAGAAGATTTTTTAAAATATATATTTAATGTAAATCTTGGATCCCCCATTGTGACCCCACCCTACCCCTGGGGGTCATAATTTGAACAAACTAGAATCAACACTACTTGAGAACGATTCCATCAAAATATCAATGATCATGGCTTTGAAGTACTTGCGAAGACGATCTTCAAAGATTTCCCTTTTAAGTCCTATGTAAAACTTTGATCAGCCATTGTGGCCCCATCCTACCCCCGGGGGTCATGATTTGAACAAACTTGAATCTACTTTATCTAAGGATGCTTCCACATAAGTTTTATCTTTCCTGGCCCAGTGGTTCTTGAGAAGAAGATTTTTAAAGATTTTCCCTATATACTCCTATGTTAAACTTCGGTCAGCCATTGTGGCCCCACCCTATCCCCGGGGGTCATGATTTGAACAAACTTGAATCTACACAACTTGAGGATGCTTCCACATCAGAGTTTCATCTTTCCTGGCCCAGTGGTACTTCAGAAGAAGATTTTTAAAGATTTTCCCCATATACTCCTATGTAAAAATTTGGTCGGCCATTGTGACCCCACCCTACCCCCCGGGGTCATGATTTGAACAAACTCGAATCTACACCACCTGAGGATACTTCCACACGAGTTTCATCTTTCCTGGCCCAGTGATTCTTGAGAAGAAGATTATTAAATATTTTCCCTTTATACTCCTATGTAAAATTTTGGTCAGCTAATGTGGCCCCACCCTACCCCTGGGGGTCATGATTTGAATAAACTTGAATCTACACTATCTGAGGATGCTTCCACATGAGTTTCATCTTTCCTGGCCCAGTGGTTCTTGAGAAGAAGAATTTTAAAGATCTTCCCTATATACTCCTATGTAAAACTTTGGTCGGCCATTGTGGCCCCACCCTACCCCCGGGGGTCATGATTTGAACAAACTTGAATCTACACTACCTGAGAATGCTTTCATACGAGTTTTATCTTTCTTGGCCCAGTGGTTCTTGAGAAGAAGATTTTTTTAAAATGCCATTAATTTTTCACTAATTCATCATTATCTCCCCTTGGAAGAGGGTGTGGCCCTTCATTTGAACAAACTTGAATCCCCTTTACCTAAGGATACTTTTTGGCAAGTTTGGTTGAAATTGGCCCAGTGGTTCTTGAGAAGAAGATGAAAATGTGAAAAGTTTATGTCGCCGACACCGACAACGCCAACAACGACAGACGACAGACAAATTTTGATCAGAAAAGCTCACTTGAGCCTTCGGCTCAGGTGAGCTAAAAAACATTTTCTCAAATGAATCTTATTTTTCCCAATAGTCATTTAATACGTACCACCATAAAATCAAGGAATATTATATAATTGAGAAAATAGTAAATAAACTTGCTTTTGTACTAATTAGGTGTTTTCAAACACTAGAACTCTAAATATGAAGAAATCT